AGTGTAAATAGAATCCATTGCTATTTGCACAGTGTAAATAGAATCCATTGCTATTTGCACAGTGTAAATAGAATACATTGCTATTTGCACTTAGTGTAAATAGAATCCATTGCTATTTGCACTTAGTGTAAATAGAATCCATTGCTATTTGCACTTAGTGTAAATAGCATCTATTGCTAAGAAAATATACTATTTACACTTAGTGCAAATAGCCACTGCCTTAAAATATTGATTAATTGTGTGTGTGTAGATGTGGATGAGTGTGAGCATCCCGGCATCTGTGGTCCGGGTCAGTGTTACAACACCATTGGGAACTACACCTGCATCTGCCCTCCGGAGTACATGCAGATCAACGGAGGAAACAACTGCATGGGTGAGTCACGCTACACGCATCACGCCAGCGGTTTCCCTCAGAGCAGACTGTGACGCGTTTGTTGTGCTGTGTGTTCAGACATGAGGAAGAGCTTGTGCTACAGGAACTACTACTCTTATAACGCCACATGTGATGGAGAGCTGACCTTCAACATGACCAAGAAGTTCTGCTGCTGCTCATACAACATCGGTCGGGCCTGGAATAAACCCTGCGAGAAGTGTCCCGTCCCCAGCACCAGTGAGACACACACTAACATTCATTCATTTAGCACAAGCTTTCATCTGAAGCACATGAGGAATACAACAAGCCATTCATCTGAGGAGGAAATAGCATGAGAAAGTTTCAAACGTCTTTATGTCTAGACGAGAACAGAGAGGGGTTGAAGAAATGGTGAAATGCATGAGAGAGGGGTTTTTATCCATTTCTTGAATATTGTCAGGGATTTGGCAATGAACCAGGGTCTTTAAAATCTTACATTTATTTTTTTTACCAAGTTTAAGGCTATAAAAAAGGCCTAAAGATCTTATATTGTCAAGAAAATTAGTTATAATTTCAATAGGTTTTAAATTGTTGGACAGAAAAACAGGAATTTTACTATGGGTTAATGTGATGATTAACTTTAAAAGGCTATGATTTTATTAAATATGAGGGCTGTGTGTTTCATGGTGCTATTGCATATATATGTATATATGTGAGTGTATATAAATATATATATATTTATGTGTGTGTGTGTGTATATACATATATATAATTTGAAATATATATTTTCATAAGTGCTGTCAAACGATTAATCGCGTCCAAAATAAAGTTTTTGTTTACATAATATATGTGTGTACTGTGTATGTTTATTATGTATATATAAACACACACACATACAGTATATATTTTGAAAATATGTACATGTATTTACATGTATATATTTATGTTCATATAATTTATATTATATAAAAAATATATTTGATATATAAGCATATTTTTCTGAAATATATACATGCATGTGTGTGTATTTATATATACATAATAAATATACGCAGTACACACACATATGTAAACAAAACTTTTATTTTGGATGCGATTAATCACGATTAATCGTTTGACAGCACTAATTTTCTTTCTTTTTTTCAAATGAATATAAATATAATCTTTTATAACTGTGACTCTTAAAATGTTTTATAAGATTTTTTTGTTTTGTTTTAGGTTTTGTCAGAATCTGTATTTTAATTGACTTTTCCCTACCTCTCATACATTTAATTTTGTGCAGGTCTTAAAAAGCCTTAAATCGATTTTAAAAAATCCCACAAACACACAGTCATGACAGTAATGCTGTTCTCTGCTGCAGATGAGTTCGCTGTGCTGTGTGGAAGTGAGAGACCTGGATATTTCATTGACATTTACACCGGTCAAGTCATTGGTAAACACACAGACACACTCAAAGACATTCAAACACAGTTCTGTGTCTGCGAGACTTCACATCCATCCTCTGTGTGTGTGTGTGTGTGTGTGTGTGTGTCTGTGTGAACCGCAGACATCGACGAGTGCCGTGAGATTCCTGGTGTGTGTGAGAACGGCGTGTGTATCAACATGATCGGCAGTTTCCGCTGTGAATGTCCGATGGGTTTTGTCTATAATGACAAGTTGCTGATCTGTGAGGGTAAGGGCTCTAAATATTATACCTGTTTATTTTAGATTATCATATGTTTGCATATATCTCTGTCAGCCTGTTATGAAAATAAAATGTCTGTTAGTAATTTAAAACCTTAAATCATGACATTTCATGGTTTTATTTCAATAAATAATAAACAAACATTATAATATAGTGAAACATATCCCCGAAACGCTTTGATACGACTGTATTTTATCAAATAAGAGTCCATGTTACGCCCCTCTGGAGAGTAAAATCTGCAATAACAAACAAAAAATGTGACAGGATCTGTGACAATCTGTGCGAATGAAATAAGATGATTCACTCTCAGCGCTCTGTGAATGATGTGTGTGCAGATATTGACGAGTGTCAGAATGGGCTGGTGTGTCAGCAGAACGCCGTCTGTCTGAACGTTCCTGGAAGTTTCCGCTGCGAGTGTAAACCTGGATACCGGCAAACTCCCACCCAGCAGTGTGTCGGTGAGTGTGTGTGTAATGGAAATATCTCATATTGCTCATAGTGTGTGTGATGATGATGATGATGATGATGATGATGATGTTTGACTCTTCCTCTCAGATCGTAATGAGTGTGCTGAGAATCCAAACATCTGCAGTCCTGGTCAGTGTATTGACATGGTGGGTAGTTACCGCTGCATCTGCCCCAACGGCTTCAAATCCACGCCAGACCTGTGTATCGGTGAGAGATCAGCCTCACACACCCATCTGTCTGTCTGTCTGTCTGCTCATATGTCTGTCTGTGGTACATCCTCATGTAGATAACTAACTAACCTTCTGGGGTCTGTGTTCATAACCAACTAATCGTCTGTGGTCTATGTTCATAACTAACTGATGGTTTATGTTAATAAATAACTGTCCGTCTGTGTTAATTACTAACTAACTGACCATCCGTGTTCATAACTTAACTGACCATCTGTGGTCTGTGTTCATAACTAACCGACCGTCTGTGGTCTCAGTGTTCATAACTAACCGACCATCTGTGGTCTGTGTTCATAACTAACCGACCGTCTGTGGTCTCAGTGTTCATAACTAACCGACCATCTGTGGTCTGTGTTCATAACTAACCGACCGTCTGTGGTCTGTGTGTTCATAACCATAACGAGCCGCCCGTCTGTGTGTTCATAACTAACCGACCGTCTGTGGTCTGTGTTCATAACTAACCGACTGTCTGTGGTCTGCGTGTTCATAACTAACCGACCACCTGTGGTCTGTGTTCATAACTAACCGACCATCTGTGGTCTGTGTGTTCATAACTAACTGACCGTCTGTGGTCTGTGTTCATAACTAACCGACCGTCTGTGGTCTGTGTTCATAACTAACCGACCGTCTGTGGTCTGTGTTCAGATGTGGACGAGTGCGAGCGTCAGCCGTGTGGAAATGGAACCTGTAAGAACACTGTGGGCTCCTACAACTGCCTGTGTTACCCAGGATTCCAGCTGTCACACAACAACGACTGCATCGGTACACACACACAAGTGTTAAACGAGTGGTGTTTTAATGATGATACTGTTTTTTTACCATCATTATTGCGTTCCTGTTGACTTGAAGCATGTAGCTGTTATTTAAAAGTTTATAAATAAGTGTAGAATATTTATTAATTCCACAGCAGACAGACATGTGTTTGTGGATAAGTTCACTCACCTCCATGTCATCCAAGATGTTCATGTCTTTCTTTCTTCAGTCACAAAGAAATTAAGTTTGAGGAAAACATTCAAAAACTTTTCTCCATATAGTGGACTTCAATGGTGGCCAATGATTTGAAAGTCCAAAATGCAGCTTCAAATGACTCTAAACAATCCCAGCCGAGGAATAAGGGTCTTATCTAGCGAAACAATCAGTCATTTCTTTTTAAATTAATATTTCTTTCTTTCTCTTAACCACAAATGCTCGGCTTGCTCTAGCTCTGCTATGCACGTTGTCGCACATTACGTAATCCTGTTAGAAAGGTCACGCGCGGTTAGTTCTTCATCTTTGTACTTCGGTTAAAAACTCCATCTCATTTTCTCCTCCAACTTTAAAATCCTTCAACATCATTGTTTTACCTTTTTTTGTAAAGGGCATTGACTTTTTTTTGCACGTTGGCTTTGTAAACACTGGGTCGGTGCTTCCGCCTACGTCACGCATGCGCATTGCAGAGCTAACGCTAGCTGAGCATTTGTGGTTAAAAAGTGTATAAATATAAATTTTTTTCAGAAAATGAGCGATTGTTTTGCTAGATAAGACCCTCATTCCTCGGCTGGGATCATGTAGAGCTCTTTGAAACTGCATTTTGATGTTCAAATCGTTGGCCACCATTGAAGTGCACTATATGGAGAAAAGTCCTGGAATGTTTTCCTCAAAAAACGTAATTTCTTTGCGACTGAAGAAACAAAGACATGAACATCTTGGATGACACGGGTTGATTATATTATCAGGACATTTTTAATCTGGAAGTGAACTTATCCTTTAACGGCTGTGTTTTGTTTGCGTCGTTCAGACACAGACGAGTGCACGTCGCTCCGGGGCTTGTGTCGGAACGGAAACTGCATCAACACGGTGGGCTCGTTTGTGTGCGTGTGTCTAGACGGGTATAAACTATCTCCTGATGGCCGGATGTGCGTGGGTGAGTCCTGAAGCTGCTCTGCTGGACCTCCAATGCATGTGTGTGTGTGTATTTATTATCACGTCTCTTCTGCTCAGACATCAACGAGTGTTTGATCAGCCCCGGTACCTGTGGCCCGGGAACGTGCCAGAATCTGGACGGCTCCTACAGGTGCATCTGTCCTCCTGGATACTTCCTGCAGAACGACAGGTGTGAAGGTCAGTGAGGCTCGGGACGATGGTCACTAGTGACTAGTGCTCACAGCGAGTGTGTTCAAATAAAGCAATAAGCCCCAAGAAGCAGTGAATTTATAACAGCTAAGGGGCGTTGTTAGGCACGAAGCAAAGCTGTTATAAATTCACTGTAAACCACGGCTTCACGGGGCTTACTGCTTTTATAAAACGGTTATTCCATATACGTAGTAAGGTTTCACAAAATAAAACAGAGCAAATAAAGTGTAATGATATTAATAAAAACAGTGTTCTTCCACCAAACAATGTAGCTCCTCAGAATCAGTTGTGGTTGCAACAAAGTGGTTGCCGAGCAACAGACAAACGTAAACAAAGGTGTATGTTACTTTGTAGAGTCATTTACAACAGCTTTGAACGCGGCTCAGCCAATCAGAATCAAGGACCGGAACTATCTGTTTTATAACCAGGGCTTGAAAACGAAAAAAATAAATTCAATCGGTTCACTGCGAGCAGAATCGATATTTTAACATTTGTGTTCCTCTGTATTATTATCGTTCCGAAACCGGTTTGCCTAGAAAAAATACCGGTTAATAACGTTATTTTTAAACCTTTTCTTTGCCTATAATAATAATAAAGTACAGCATTTTCTTTACTCAAAAAATCTGGATGCTAAAATATTATTATGTTATAGCCTAGGCTTTGTACTTCACTCCTTCACATCGGCTATATCAGCACAGTGTGGTCACGCTGAACACAACAGAGCAGTGCAACTTTTTATATGTTTCTTTAACTGTATTTTATATTGATAATGAACAGGCTGCAATGTCGCAAAATATGTTGTGTCTGTGTCGGCGCGATATGGTCATATCAACGCTGGTTGGTTATACAGATAGAAGCAAAACATTCAAAATTCAAAACTGTCGAGCTTTTGCAAAATAAATAAAACTGCTTTCTGCCGTCTCGTTTTCCTTTGCGTGAACTTTGGATCGCGTCACAATGAACCGAAACTCAGCACATTTTTTTTTTCTTTCGTTTTGTTAATTTGTCAATGATTTAAGTGAAATATATTTAGTGTATAGGCCAATATAGTCTATTCATTTTTATGTAAGCCTATAGTTTTATTCTTTGCCATTGCGACTTACCTATGATGATGAGTTGACAGCTGAGCGGGAATTTCACTTGTTGGAAATTGTCGAAATTTATGCCACGACTTCGTTAACAAGACGAGACGGGACTATAATGTTATTTGAGGACTACCAGACATTCAAAATACATCCTATAGGCTACTGTCTTGACCAGCGCTCAAATACACACACAGCAGTCCAAATGTCTATCGTGTAGAGTATCTCACGTAAATACAGTCGGTTATGGATTAAGTTAACGTAAACAGGTGGGTGAAAACTGAGCGTGTGTCAGTATTACATGCATGCCTTCCGTCTTAAAGGGACAGCGTTCCTAATTGAGTACCTATCCGTGTCATTAATGTTAACCAACAAAAGATGTTAAATAAATATGTCAAGTAAGCCTACTATATCTGAAAAATGAGTTTAATTTGTATCTCTTTCGTATTTGTCTTATTCTGCTTCTTTTTCAAAAATTATAAATTACATATATTATATATGAACAACTATAATTTTTATAAGTTGCTCCCGTTTCACTACTGTTAAAGGGATAGTTCACCCAAAAATGAAAATTGTCATCATTTATTCAAGTTTTTCCAAATTCAATCCTTGATTCAAATTCAAAAGCTTAATTGATTTGGTCTAAAGAGAGAAGAATTAATGACTTTTTTTGTTTGAAGACTACATATAAAATAGTAGTTGACAAAAATGCAATGACTTTTCGTCAACTAAAACTATGAAAGACTCAAATGACTAAAATGTGACTAAGACTATTAAGCATTTTCATCTGAAGATAAAGACTAAGACTAAATAAAAAATGCCTGTCAAAATTAACACTGGTTGACAGCAAATTTCAAACCGCTTCATCCATGTGTGTGTTTGCTCAGATATCGACGAATGCTCTCAGACGGCAGAGATCTGCATCTTTGGCAAGTGTGTGAACACGCCAGGCAGCTTCAGGTGCGAGTGTCCGGAGGGATTCCAGCTGTCCTCGACCGGAAAGAGATGTGTGGGTGAGTTATCGCAGATATATATCCCACAATTTCGTGATGCTGCAGGTCATCAGTCAGGAATCTCGTCATGTTTAATGAGTGAATGATTTGTTCCTCATGATGTAGGAAGGAAACAGAACACAAGGCTGTTCGTGCATTTGTTGTCTTCACTTGCTCACACTTTCCATTCTGACTCCATGGACAGGACAGGGTGTGTGTGTGTGTGTGTGTGTGTGTGTGTGTGCGCGTTTTTGTGACAAATGAGGACATAAATTTGTATAATGACAAGGGTATGACATAGGTATTACAAGGAGAAGGTGACTTTTCAGGACATTACCCCATGTCCCCACTTTTCAAAACGCTTATAAATCACACAGAATGGAGTGTATTGAAAATCTGAAATAGCACAAAGTTTCCTGTGAGGGGTAGGTTTAGGGGTAGGGTTGGTGTAGGACAATACCACATACAGTTTGTACAGTATAAAAACCATTACGCCTATGGGATGTCCACACTTTTCACAAAAACAAACCTGTGTGTGTGTGTGTGAGAGATGTGTGTGTGTGTGTATGTGTATGTGTGTGTGTGTGTGTGTGTGTTTAGAGGGTGTAAAGGCTTCTGTAAATGAAAAACAGGCCTCAGGGTAATAACAGCAACATAGCCGCCCATCTCTTTCTCAACAGCACAAACACACGCGTGACTGATACACACACACACACTGACACTCACTCACACACACACACACACACACACACAGAGAGAGAGACTGATACACACACACACTCGCACACACACACACTCACACCCACACTCACATGACGTGATGGCAGTAATTGTTATTGTGTGTGTGTGTGTGTGTGTTTCAACAGCATACAAAACTCTGTGTCCTGCACCTGGTAAAATCCCCACTGTACACGACACGACTGTGGGTGAGTGTCTCTGAATCAGACTCACACTCGTGTGTTTGTGAGCACAGACTGATCAGTTGTGTTTCAGATGTGGACGAGTGTTCAGAAAACCCCGGCATCTGCAGGAACGGCCACTGCATCAACACCGACGGGACGTTCCGCTGCGAATGCCCCTTCGGATACCGGCTCGACTTCACTGGGATCAACTGTGAAGGTTTTAAACCCATCATGTCCAGTAACATTTACTAATATTCATGAATTACTAAACAAGTTCAATTTCAGATTTAAAGCAGCTCTATATCAATTCAGTTCATTGTTGATTCAGTTCAGTGTCAATTCAATTCAGTTTAATGTTGATTCAGTTTTGTTCAATAACAGTGGCATTAAAATCTTGTAAAATTTTTCAATTATGAAACTAATTAAATTTCAGGAGACAATAGTGTCATTATTCAGATCAAATCAGTTCAGGTTTTGTTGCAGTTAAATCAATAATATTACTGAATATTATCTTATTAAATCAGGCTGATGGGGAGTGTGTTGAACGTGAGCTCACATGTGTATGTGTGTGTGTGTGTGTGTGTGTGTGAGTGAGTGTCAGTGTGTGTGTGTGTATCAGTCTCTCTCTCTGTGTGTGTGTGTGTGTGTGTGTGTGAGTGAGTGTCAGTGTGTGTGTGTGTATCAGTCTCTCTCTCTGTGTGTGTGTGTGTGTGTGTGTGTGAGTGAGTGTCAGTGTGTGTGTGTGTGAGTGAGTGAGTGAGT